ACAAACATAATAATTGGAAACTTTACGAGAGGGAGATATCTTACAAGCTGCCTTCCAATAAGCAACAGTTTTTTCACCTTTTGGAAAAAGCAATTTTTTCAAGAAGGATATTTGCATGTGTACTTTAGGTACTGTTGCGTCTTGTAGAACTTCGGATTTCACTGTTTTTTCACTTGAAACTTATAGAAGGAAGCCTGATTATTTTAAATCATAAAAAGTGTGGATGGAGCAGGCTTTTCATGATTTTTTTTCCCAAAGCACTGTATTTTTTAGCAACTATTTCCCCCCATTATTTCCACCGCCATCTACCATATGACGTTGACGTCTGTAGATATGTCATACAATGTATATCAATAAAATCAACCATTTGATATGATGTGCTTTTCCTATATCTTCGATGACCTTCTCCCTCGTCATTTGAAATCAGGTGGACCTGTTCCTCCATTTATGATTTATCATTTAACTCAATCGTCGGGACTGCGAAGACAAATTTTCAATTGAGATGTCTGTTTTCTTAATGACATTTACATAAGATATGTCACCCGCTAGTACCTCACCCATGTTAGGCGGTTACCCGTATCACGTGATTTTTTGACATTTGAATGACGTCACATTCGTCTTCCCCTATTACCGTTCTTCGCGAAAATTTGAGTATCAGTTCCCGGTAGTGCACTGTTCTACACCGTGGACTCGCGAAAAAATCCTTACTGAAAACAAAATGGAAGTTCCCAGGGAAAGTCAAACTGTCGTTTGTCAAAAATCAAACTCTGTTGGTAAGAAAAGGCGTATTTTTTAATTCACCGGTTGAGCCACCGGTGCAACCAATTATCCAATTTTACTTCCTTTAATTTCCATCTGAGCGACCGGTTGTACACCAAAATTGTCTATAAACTATATAGACGCTTCTGTGAGCGTTCAGCTAAAACAGCTGAACATAACTACAATTCACAACATGGACAAAAAGAACTAAGATTACGAAAATACATAGAAGTAAGACTTAAATCGAGTAATTTCGCATTTTGCAATTGTAACAAAAATTTTCAAATGATTAGTGATCACAAAAATCGTATTAATTATGGTTCTTGAAAGTTATGTCCTCTTTTGTTCGAAATTTCATACTGTATTCATAATCTTCATTTTGCCACTACCGGGTCAGTAAACAATATATCGAGCACAAAGCAAGCTTAAAATGGAATTTCATTAAAATATCTTCTGCCACTTGCTCACTCGAAAATGTTACAAAAACTTGTACCTGTTGAATTGTGGCACTGTTTTCTCGACAAAATTTTTGGGTTTCATTCTCTCAGTAGATCTTCAAAGTCTTCAGTTAACAAAGGTCTCTAATCTACGTTTAGAACACTGGTATTGAGAACAACTCATGCATGACAGCAACTTGAGTTCAACAAATGCTAATTTGAGTAACATACAAAAGATGAATTTGTTAAATCACTGCAGATGAGAATTAACTTTAAGTAGAATCTTATATTTTATACTTACATACTGCCACTTATTGCAATTATATTCACTGTACACTGTCGAATTACAAGTCATATACATGCTAACAGTAGAGTTACACACAACGCGGGCGCGGTGGTGATTTTTTTTAATTCTTTTCAAAAAACAACACAAATAACCCCTCTGGCACAACTTATAGATATACTTCATTGGCAGCATGTCAGTAATAGTGTTGTAAACTTATCAAATATCACTTTTTTATATACATGCAGACCAATACAATCATCCAGATGCGGTCTTGCTACTCAACCAAACTGAACCAAACTTTCGTTCTTCACATTTCAAACCTACACATTGAGGTCTATGAACAAAGTGGCTCTGTGCAACCATCAATACATATTTGGGAAGCGAAAAGTATTTACCTTACAACGACCAAAGTGAGCAAACGTGGAATGACTTTTTGCACCTTAAAAACTACCTATAGTGTATTTACACCCAAGATAGAATGGATGCGTGATTGCCAAAAGCAAGGACGGCTTACAGGGCCGCATTCAGGGCTACCTCCGAATGATGGACTACCACCAACGTGTTGTAAAACAAAGATGACAGTATTTAACAAAATTATCTAATATAGTGAAGTAGTTACAGTTAAGGGTGACGCAAAATCAAATTTTTATTCATGAAGTTTTTCTACAGATTTTTCAAACTAGACAACATGGAGAAATACATACCAAAGGTAACCAGCTGCTCACTATGCACAATGAATCCGTAGTCAACGAGGGGTAGAGATGACACTTTTGTACATGGAATAAATATAAGGCTGTTCAATCAATTGAAAATAGATTTTGAAGGTGCACTTCGGACTTGCATTGTCTGTAGTTTATCTGTAAGTTAATATTTCACTATAACTAGGATTCCCATAATATGTATTCTGTGACAAAACAAAAACGCGAAACTTACTCAGACTCAGTTGAAGAGCTATCGTCATTAATGTTTATGATGATGGATTCAAAATCTCTCTCAATTATGTTGTCCAGCTCCCACATTGCTACCTCCACTTTCTCCTGAACATGCTGCAAACATGTTTGCCATCTTTCTGGTGTGACCCTCTGTATGGCAATTCTGAACAGCTCTTGCATGTCAAAATTTAAATATTGTATTGTGTCCAGCAACAAAAATCTTAACATCTGCCCACATGAGCTCAATGGGGTTGAGCTCACAGTGGTAAGACGGCAAACAGAGTACTGTTTTGTGGTGTGCTTTGGCCATTTCATCTATGACATATTTATCATGTCTTGGTCTGTGTCGTTTCACAATATCTAATAGTTGTAATTTCAGTAAGGAAGGGTCGAAAGTTATATTTTTGGAACGGAGCCAGCTCTGAATGTCTGATTTCCTAGAAGCTGAAGTTGGGATTTTTTCTACTTTGCGAGAATGATAGGGAGCATTATCCAAAACAACCACAGAATTGTCTTCGAGACGTGGTAAAATGCCTGAAAACCACTTCTCGAATGCTTCTCCATTCATCTCTTTATAGTAGTCAGTGTTTTTTTTTACTCAAAAGACCATAAGCCGTCATCCACGAAGCCATCTACACCCCCAATGTGGCAAATAATGAACCTGTTTCCTTTGCCTAGAAAGATAAAATCCGCTAAGTACACATGCACGTCTTGTAGGTACAAAGATAGAGAGATATTGTGCGCAAAAATTGATACCGTGAACTACTTCGATCTATTTACCTGCTGGATTTTTCAATCCGGTCGACAGTCCATCTAGAAATGCCCTTCTGGATGAAGTCACAGTTTTGTCAACCCATACCTTCGGAGTAGTGTGCCCAGCGTTAATCCAGGTTTCGTCCAGGTAATAGATCTTCCTGTGCTGCTCCCCGAATGATTTAATGTTGGTCAGGTACTCTCTCTTCCACAGAACAATTTCTTCTCTATCCATAAGCTGTTACGACCTCGTTTCTTCCATTCGAAATTAAGATGCTTCAAAAGTTTATGAATAGTCGAACGTTTGAAATTTGGTAACATAGCATCCTCGTTAACCTCCCGTAGTACTTTATCAACTGTCGGTATTTCGTTTCTGAAGAAGAACTCGTGCACTTTCCTCCGAATCGCATGCTTGTCAGCGTCATCCAACGATCTTAAGATACTTTTGCGATTTTTACCCGACATTGGCTTGGAAAAACATGCTTTTTCTTATGTTCGTTCAAAAACATTGTACACTGTCGCTTGGCATACTCCAATTTTATCTTCCACTTTCAGAGCTATTTTCGGGATGTTTCGTCTTCCTTCCGCTCTATCTTGAATGTATTCAATATGCCGTCTTTCATGTCTACGCTAAGATGTCTTTTTTTATCGCTTTCTAGGAGGGCTAAGGGAGTAGCCTACAGCCTCGTCAGCAATATCTGTACTGGACATGTTCAGGATTGGTTCAAAACAAATAATAACGAGGAATAACAATAACAAACAGAAACTTAACAAATTACTAAAACACACTTAACAACAACAGCAACAACCAAGCAAAGTGAATACGAAAACACGAGCACGCAGTGATACTCGTGACGGTCGGTGGCCTGAATGCAACTCTGCTTGCCCTGCCCCTGCCCCGCGTATTATTCCGCCAGGCGACCGCTTGAAATTTAATGGCGAATTGACCAATAAGAGGCGATGTCCCCACCTATTACCGAGAGATCACGCGCTAACTGTTATTATTTACATCTCATCTTGAATTTGGATTCAGTTTAGTATGCAAGTTAACATCTTATACGTTTTTTTTTTTACGTTTTGTAGGTTTTTTACATGATACCCGTGCGGTGCGCGTATTATGTAAAAACCCTATAAAATGTCATCTTGCAGACTAGGTATTTTTTAGGGTGCAAACAGTCATTCCACGTTTGCTCACTAGGATCGTTGTGCGCGTCCATCTATAGAGGAATAGCTCAACTACACGCATTGTTGTTTGTATATATTTTGTGAAGCCTAGTAGGTAATCTGTAGTTTTCATCTCGGAGAAGAAAGTTGGCTGAATGGCAAGATCGCATCTGTATGATTATGGTTAGTGCATGTGTTTTGTCTGGGCCGTGAAGCAAGAAAGGTACAGAAAAGCAAAAATTGTGTTCAGCAATGATCAGTTTTGCTTGGTTAATGGCCGATTGCACCAATATTTTCTTAAGGATAGAATTACAAAGGAGACATTAAAATTTGAGGATCGCCCAAAATTTTCTGGGTTGCACCAACACATTCTGGGGTTTCCTCATATTTCCTTAACTAAGCTTTCCTTAAACTTGACAGCTCCACAGGAAGCTAGTGATTTTGTCATGTTATGATGCAGTTGTCTGCCCTGCCTGAAAGTAGTAGATGTTTTGTGCAGTGTTGCCAGAAGTAGCGGAATTCCGCTACTGGTAGCGGAATTTTCATGTGGTAGCGGCGTAGCATGCAAAACAGAAATAGCCTTTAGTCCTATGCTTTTTATTTTTTAGTTTCATGTGATATTTTTTTAATATGACTGGGTGATAAATGTTCTGTTGTTTGACAGTTATTTGTAATACTGTATTGGTTTTTATAGTCAAATGTTTTTTTATTACAGTTTTATGTTATATTTTATCACGGTGTTTGGTTTTTGTTTTTCTTTTTTTGGCACAACCTGTATAATAAATGCCCCTTCTATTTTATGATAGTGCGCCAACCTCCTTCCCTCCGACATAATCACCGGGGTAGCGGAGTTTTTCGATACCAGTAGCGGAATTTTCAATGTTGGCTCTGGCAACACTGGTTTTGTGCTGAAAATGACATTTCACATGATTTCACATATGGTGCTGCAATTTTTGGAAGAATTTTTTATTTTTGCAAAGTTTTATATTGTGGATCATGAGTGCTGCCGAAAAAAGGAAAAGGGGTGCCAATTTTACAACAAGTGAAACTAGAGTACTTCTATCAATAATTACGGAATTTAAAGGGATCATGGAAAATAAAAAAACTGATGGTGTTTCTGTACAAGAAAAAAACCAGGCGTGGAGTAAAATTACTGCGAAATTTAATGCAGCTTGCCTTCAAGGGAGGCATCGAACAATGGACTCCTTGAAAAAGCTATTTGACAATAAAAAAAGGGAGCTGCGGAAGCCGAAGGCAGAAATACTTAAAACTGGTGGTGGGCCTTCACAGAGAACTGGTAATACATCCCAAGATTTACTCTTTTCCATAGTGGATCCACTCACTGTTGTTGGTGGAACAACTTCATATGGGTCAGGCAGCAGCTTTCTGCTTTATGAGAAAAATCAAGACCCCTTGGAATATGAAGTAAAGGCCATTGAACATGTAGGTCCCAATGAACATCAAAAGGAAAATGAAATGAATATGTTTGATGATCAGGTAAATGCAACCATTAAGTTATTAATCGATCATATTTATATATTTATCATGTTGAGTCACATTTTACAGTTAGCAAATTTCCGATCATGTTCAGATATAGCTTAAAAAATATTATAATAAGATCAACGATCCCAAATTCTGATCAAATGACTGCTCAGTTTTTTGATTTGGTTAGGGCATAGTAACAGGTCTTTTGAAAGGGATCCAAAGTCTTGAAATGTGCTGTTCTTTCTTAATGTTTTTCATGCTGTATATTCTTTATTTTTAAAATATGAGGAAAGACATTCTACTTTATTTAATTTTCAATGTTGAAGTTGGTGGAAATATTGTGTGATATTCATAATTGTGACTGAATCGTTGTAGAGTTACATTCAATAAGCAGGAACCAACAGATCACTGTTGAGATATTCATTTTTGCTTACAACTGTTTTCCATAATAAATTACTAATTCTTATATTTTTAAGGTCATCACTGAATCATCACAATTGATGGAAGATGGGAATCAAGAAAACAATTCCAGGAGTATGGAGCAACTAGCAGATATATCAAGGGGATGGAACAAAGGGTCTGATTTGAAAAAACCTGTTGCACCACAATTGAGGCAATCTATCAGTAAAGTGAGTAACTGTATGATAAAGTATTCTTTGTTTACTTTTGAATAGTTCCACTATATGTTTCAACCTTTTTAGCCAGCACAAAGTGATAAGGCTGAAAGTAGAAGACCTACTGAGACAGTCATAAGGTCACTGTCATCAAACCAGCTTGCTGAAAAATACAACTTGTTGGTTGATAAAAAGAATGTTATTGCAGACCATGCTCAGAAGAAGCTCGAACAAGAATTGAACATGAATTAAGGGTACAAGCGTTAAAATATGACATAGAAATTAAAAAGAGGCAATTAGACTCATTAAGGCCCAAGGCAGAATGACACATGATTTCCAAGACTATTTTATTAATGGTTTTTTGTTTTTTTTTTGTATTCTATACCTGTTTTTTTTTTTTGAAAAATGAGATTTAACTCTTAAGTACCAAAGTGTTATTTTTGTTACATAACTACAGATGTGACTAGGCTAGACCACAACAATTTTACTAATCAAGAATAGTTGTTTCTTCATATTCTACTTAAACAAATGTTGCAACGTCTTAATATATTGTTATTTTAAACATAAAACAAAATTTACATTTACTACAAATTATAAATATTAATATTGGTCATAATTTTTGGAAATATAAAACTGTCTATCAGACCACACATTGGTACTTATTTGCCTTGGAAGTTTTTAAGTTGTAGCATTTGGCTAGTCAAATCACTACTATACTGTGATATTTTTAAAATATATTATTGTTTTGTTTTTTGATTAGAAGTTTTTATACTTTAGTTTTGTTTGAAGACTGTAGTTTGTGATAGTTTTGTTTGAAGGCGATAGTTGTGATGTAAAAACAATAAAAGGGAAAATATAACAAAAATATTTTATTCCTCGCATTATAACTCAAGAAAAAGAAACATTCAAAGATTTCCAAAATAATTAATCATTTCTTCTTGAGCAGTATTGACATTGTGATTCTGTATTGTACGCATTTCAATATCCTGTGTTACAATTAAATAATTGAATTTTGACATAACTTGGGAATAAGCTGGCTAAATTTCTAGATATCCTTCCAACAATTCTGCAGGCTATGCTTGCAACCATTCCCATGAAATAAGCAGTTTGCCTAATAAGACCTGCACTAGCATAGTACCTTAAGCAGCATAGAAGCTGATTCATTTGTGAAATGCTGTGATTCCTAAAATGAATGCATTCATATAGATATTTGTCTTAGATTGAGATCATCTATTTGCGATAATACATGCAACACTCTGTCGTGTGACAGCAGAACCTAGTAAGTCGACTTACTAGGTTTTACATTTTTACGTCATTTTTGAAAAGCCCGTAAAAAGTTCTACTAGTTGAATTTTTTTCTCTCGCTCAGACGCACTCTAAATCGTATATCTTTGTCTCATGTTTCCTAGTAAGTCATCAGAACAGCATTTAAAAAATCAACAAATGATGGCATGTCTACATGCTACGTTTTGAAGATTTTTTTTGTAGGAAATTTGGCGGGAGACTCCGTCGTAAACGCACTTGCTAGTTTTTGCTAAATTTTCATGCCATGATTTCAAGCCGATTGAGTGTAGGCACGGATGCATGCTACAGCGTTTCCGCAGTCATGTTCCAACTGGCATAGAGTGTGGATCGGTGAGGACAGTCGCGAATTAGTTTAACGTTAGTACTGTAGTTAATATCCAGAATATGTCGAGAGGAAAATTCATAACGAGTTTATGCATTACAGAGAGGTGAGTGCAAGCATCATACATTACATATAAGCCAAATGAAATATTAACTCAGGAGTAACATTGCAGTTTGATGTTTTTTTTTTCAGTAAAATAAAAGATTATAATTACTACAAACAAAAAGCTAATTCTTGCAATACGGTTTTCGTATTTGAAATATATATTCAAACCGCTGACCTCTATTTATTTTATCTTTCAGAAATGAACCTCTCGAAGAGCGTCAGCAACATGATGAAGAACCTATATCAGATTATGACGATTCTGATGCAGACCCAAATTATGAGCCGTCAGTATCCCCTAGAAGGAAAAAAATTAAATTTTCGGACTTTGATGACGTATCGCTTGCGCCCCTCAAAAACAGGCAGCCTTTGAAAAAAGTCAACGAGAATGTGAATGCAAACTGCAGAGTTTCCCAAGAAAGGCCAGACAAGCAAGAAAAGCACCCCCTACTGCTATCATGCCATAATAATTGCAGGCAGAAATGTAGCTCAAAAATCAATGATGAGAACTTTAGAGAATTGATAAGAACGAAATTCTGGAGACTCAGCTTTGGCGAGAGTAGACTTTTTTTGGATGCTCATATCAAACAATTTGAAATCAAAGTAAGGCGGCAAGAGGCTCAGCGCTCTTCCAGGAATGTTTCTCTGAAATATTTTCTACCCCTTCCAGTGGAAACTGAAGCTAAATTTGAAAAAATACAAGTGTGCAAAACAATGTTTTTGCATACTTTAGGACTTAAAACAGATGGTATGATAACTTGCCATATACATTCCAAAAAGCGAAGTGTAGAAGGAATTGCACAAACAGTGGATGAAAGGGGGTTAGTTATTAGAGGCATGCTAGAAGAACAAAAAATGAGAACAGAGGAAATTGTCATAAAGCATATAAACTCATTCAATCCGGTAGTATCTCACTATAATTTAAAGCACACCCCGAATAGACGATTCTTGCCACCTGACTTGACCATTAAATACATGTGGCAAGACTTCTGTAATCTACAGAGAAGAAGAAGAATTTTTGAAAAACAGAATATTGGGTTTAAAAAGCCATCCCAAGACGAATGCGCTCAGTGTCTAAAACATAAAGTTCACATTATTCGCCAATGCGACGCAAGTAGTTGCAAGATTTGTTGTCAATTCGAAAACCACAAAAAAAGTTATACGGAAGCAAGACAGCACTATGAAAATGACTCCAATCAAGAGGTAATGCAAGATGAGAAGGTCTATGCTGTAGATATGCAGAAAGTCTTACTCTTGCCCAAAATGTCAACCAAGGAATCTTTTTTTGTTTCAAGGTACTTCGTTTATAATTATATATAATTGTATTAAACTTTTATATACTTCTATATTTGTTGTTGCAGGTTGGTCGTATTTAACGAGACGTTTGCGTCACTTCATAAGGACGGAAATATTTGCGTGATGTGGCATGAGGCTATAAGAGGCAGGTCCGCGACGGATGTTGCATCGGCATACTACAACGTAATAAAAAATTCAGACAATGTTACCAAAAAATTTACATTCTGGGTAGACAACTGTTCTGCTCAGAACAAGAATTGGACACTATATTCTGCTTTTGCGACTTTTGTAAATTGTGAATGGGGTCCAGAAGAGATCACCCTAAAATATTTTGAACCAGGCCATTCATTTATGGCTGCGGATTCGGTTCATGGCCGAATCAGCACAGAAATGAAAAAACACCCAAACATTTATGATTTTGAACAGCTTCTGAAAATAATTGAGCAGTCCTCAAAAAAAACTAAATGTTTGCCTATAAATAATTTTGATTTTTTCCTCTTTGAAGATGGAAGCAAACAAAGAAAAAGCAATAATATACCTCTTCTTGAAAAAATTAAGCTCGCTCAGTTTCGCAAAGGATGCAGACACTTGTTTTATAAAGAATGCCATAATGAAACTGTCTTTCAGGAAGTCGAGTTTTTGAAAAAAAAAGTTGATCTCAAATTCCCTATACATCCTTTTGTCGAGCCACTGGGATTGAACTCAGAAAAAAGAGAAACAATTTTAAAAAAATTGGTACCATCCTTCAAAGATGAAAGAAAGAAACTATTTTGGCAGTTTTTGCCATCTAATGATAATTCCAAAGACTTATGTGTGGTATCAGAGGCTTAGCGCTTAAGTTCTTGTTCTTCTTGTATGTAGACTTGCTGTTTTATGTTCCACCGTTTTTCATTCAAATGTTTATTTTCCAGTTAGTAAGTAGATATGTTACTTTTTGTGTTCGCCTTCGCACATAAATTATATCAAATAAAACCTTAGTAAGTACACTTACAATATCTTTTTTTTTTATTTTCTCTAGTCGAAATTTTGTAAAAATCAGTAAGTTGACTTACCATTTTCTGCTAAAGTATCTTAATTTAATATCGAAAAAGAAACCATGAAAAAAAAAACGTAAGTCACTTTTCTACCATAAACAAAACTATCACATGAATAAAATTGATGCTATCGAATTTAGCAAGTTACATAACCCTTCAGACAATTTTTTTAATATTCATAAAACTTAAACTTTTCGAAAGCCGAATGTTTATTGAAAATATGTTATTTCTCAAACCTGATAAAAAGTGACTTACTAGGTTCTGCTGTCACACGACAGCACTGTTTCCTTGTATAACCGGAACCTTCTGAAAAAACCCAGTGGATCCATTTCTTCAAAGCAATTTGGCCGACTATAAATGCGCCGGGGTAGTCCCACCACGATAATAATCAAATCCAAGCGAATAACCAAAATTTCTGTGTTATGTACCGCGGTTATAATATGGTTCAAGATGACACACGGGTTGATGACGTCAGTTACACGAATCGCTTGAACGCGTTGGTTTTAACCGCGGTTTTGTTGCAAGTTGTTTATTTTAGAAAAGCGCGTATATAATCTCTGATTATTTTTATTATCACTTAATAATCGGTGCTTTTTCGTCTACAACTGTATGTGGAAAGTTTCAATAAGAAACCTTTCATAATATTCATGGGAGAAATGTTTTTTTCAGATTTTTGATGGAACCATGGCTTTGTAGCTATGATAACTTTCAGTTCTCTAAATTTTTCCACATGTCAAAGAAAACATTTACTGATTCAGCAGAAATGATGAAAAAAGAAATTAGCAAAACCGTATACAGGTGGATATCATCTAGTGAGTTTATATGGCCATATTTTAATATTCTTGTGGTATATGGCTACACAGGATACTTTGTTAAGCATAGCAACTACATTTAAAGTGTCCCCAACAACCGTAATGAGTATAACTAATAAGGTGCTCCACTTTATGGTAAAACTGAAGTCAGCCTGTATCATTTTTCTCAAAAATAAAGCTGAAGTACAATAACAATATCCAATACCCGACAAAATTCTAACTTGTCACATTTGAAATAATAACCAGAAATATAAAACTATAATCAAATCCAAGCGAATAACCAAAATTTCTGTGTTATGTGCCGCGGTTATAATATGGTTCAAGATGACACACGGGTTGATGACGTCAGTTACCCGAATCGCTTGAACGCGTTGGTTTTAACCGCGGTTTTGTTGCAAGTTGTTTATTTTAGAAAAGCGCGTATATAATCTCTGATTATTTTTATTACCTCTTAATAATCGGTGCTTTTTCGTCTACAACTGTATATGGAAAGTTTAAATAAGAAACCTTTCATAATATTCTTGGGAGAAATGTTTTTTTCAGATTTTTTTTTAATGATGGAACCATGGCTATGATAACTTTCAATTCTCTAAATTTTTCCGCATGTCAAAGAAAACATTTATTGATTCAGCAGAGATGATGAAAAACGAAATTAGCAAAACCGTATACAGGTGGATATCATCTATTGAGTTTATATGGCCATATTTTAACACATCCACTGCCCGGAACGCGCGTAGCGCGTTTACTTGCTTCACCTCCAGGTGCCCACACCGCGCTGGGCGCGTTCCGTTACCGCTAAGATTCAACGATCACTTGAGTGGGGGGGGCAAGGCTGTAAACGTCTGAATATGGGGAGGGCACGCTCAGTACTGATTTTGTTTCCATACAAAGTGGTTGGTTTAGAGACACCACGTGTTTTTTTTTTCTTATTTCACCTATTTTGTAGAAATAATTGTGTTGTCGAATTTTAAGAGGTGAGTCGTATAATATAATTACTTAAAATGATAATTAGACGTTTGTGATGATAAATATATATATATATATATATAAATATATATTCTAAAATATTGATATAGAGAGCCGATCATGCACCGTCCGACTAGGTCACCGCGCCAGGCGCGTTGCTGGGCGCGGTGCATACATTTACATTAAGCTGTGGTTGTATTACAGATTGTCATAGATCAAATGCCTGGACCAATACAAGACACTGAACCATGTATGAAGAAACAGAGGACAAACAAAACATACAAGCAGCAGATTCTAACAGATGATGAACTTCGTACAATTTTGGAAGAATCAGATATAGAAGAAGATCCATTCCTGAATGACAGTGACGACGATCCTGAATATAATGCTAGCAGCACCAGCGATTCAGATGAGGAGATTGATCAACAGTCTCGGCCGGGTACTCCAGTTATGCCAGGTCCGCCAGTTGCGCCGAGTACCCCTGTTGCTACTACCTCGCAGTGGTCTTACCAAGAAGTACATAGTCCAAAAATCCCATTTACAGGAGGTTCAGGTATTCTTGTTAATTCAAAAGGAATAGAGCCAATTGATTATTTTAACCTGATTGCCACAGAAGAGTTTTTTGATTTTCTTTCTGCCAAAGCTAACGCGCATGCTGTGGAGCTACTTGCCAAAAGCGAAGGAGATCAATCGAGGATTAGTCGTTGGACGGACGTAACGCGAGACGAATTAAAAACGTTCCTTGGGCTTTTATTTCATATGGGAACCATTCGAGTGAACAGAATTAACGACTACTGGAAAAAGGACATTTATGAGTCGTAATCGATTTTTATTAATACTGAGGTCGCTGCATTTTGAGAACCTCGATAACCAGATGCCTCGCACACAAATGGGAAAAATTCTTCCACTTGTCAACTTTTTCAACCACAGAATGCAGATTATTTATTATCCCAACAGGGAATTATCGATTGATGAGTCTATGGTGTTATGGCGTGGGAGGTTGAAATTTCGCCAGTATATCAAAGGAAAACGGCACAAGTTCGGCATAAAGTTGTATGTCTTGTGTGAACCAAATGGATTAACCTTGAAATTAATCGTTTATTCAGGAGCTGCTGATCCTCAATTATCTGGTTCTCTTCACTCAGAAAAAGTTGTCCTATCGCTTCTACAAGAATACCTAGGAGTTGGTCATTCAGTGTTCATGGACAACTTTTATAACAGCGTTAAATTGACCAAGGATTTATTAGATAAAAAAACATACGTCACAGGAACTCTGAGATCAAATAGAAGGGGGAACCCTCCAGTTTTAGCCAAGAAATTAAAGAAGGGCGAGCTGATTATTCAATTCAATACCGAGGGAATTTGTGTTGTAAAGTGGAAGAATCGCAGAGAAATTTTAGCTATTTCAAATGAATTTAGTGGACAACTAGAGGAAGTAACTACTCAACGTGGTCAAGTGGTGATGAAGCCGATGATGATAAATGCATACAATAAGTTTATGGCAGGGATTGATCATTGCGATCAAATGTTAGCATACTATTCTCGCGAACATAAGACTCTTATCTGGTACAAGAAACTGGCCGTCCACATATTTAAAATCATGTTGCTGAATTCATTTTATTTGTATAAGAAAGGCACTGGAAGTCGCAAAAGCTTGTATGACTTCAGATTAGATGTATATTAGAAAATTGATTGGACCACAACCACCAGATCCCGTACCTATGCTTAATCTTCAGCACCTTCCAGAATATTGTCCAAAAGGAGAAAATGGAAAGGCTAAAAGGAGGAGGTGCAATGTTTGTTGGTCTAATGGTCAGAGAAAGGATTCGGTCTATTATTGTCCTCAGTGTCCTGGCGGCCCTGGATTCTGGAGTCTTACACCATGTTTTAGGGTTTTTCACGCAAAAAAATAACCATTTTATTTATTTCCCGTTACATATTTTAAAAATAAACAAATAAAATGTAACCAATTTTGTTTCATTTACCTATAGAGATGAGATGAACGCGCCTAGCGCGGTTATGGGCACCAACTGTAGTTTGACTCGTGACCTGTGCCCACAACGCGCCCGGTGCGTTTTTGTTTTTTCCAAAAAGTAAAATGGCATCATCGGATCCATTTAAAACCCCAATTTAACATAATTTATCTTATTATATAAAAAAACTTGAGTGGCACCTGACGCAACATGTATTTGGGTATGGGCAGTGAATGTGTTAATATTCTTGTGGTATATGGCTACACAGGATACTTTGTTAAGCATAGGAACTACATATAAAGTGTATCATTTTTCTCAAAAATGAAGCTGAAGTACAATAACAATATCCAATACCCGCAAAATTCTAACTTAACACATTTCAAATAATAACCAGAAATATAAAACTACTCTTGAGTTGGGTAAATACCACAATTTTGCGGTGATAACTATGACATATAACAGCTGATTCTTGACGTCACGGATCTTATAACCAAACTGATAACTACACTCGCTTGAACGGATTGGTAAATACCAACCCAAAATGGTAAATACCATTTCCATTTGGTTATCCGCTTGAATTTGATTTATTCTTGAGTTGGGTAAACACCACAATTCTGCGGTGATAACTATGACATATAACAGCTGATTTGTGACGTCACGGATCTTATAACCAAACTGATAACTACACTCGCTTGAACGGATTGGTAAATACCAACCCAAAATGGTAAATACCATTTCCATTTGGTTATCCCCTTGAATTTGATTAATATCTACCAGCTCTAAATCATCATCCAGAATATCTGGTAAGTCGCCCAAAAAATCCAAATATGAGTACTCCATTGTAACTCACAGGAACACAAACTCAAGGTCCTGTTTGAGGTATCACATCAAGTATAAAATGGAGTTGATCAAGACGAACAAAAAACAAGTCAATAACACCAAAAAGGCCTTCCTCAGAAAGCACTTCTACACCACACAGAGGAAAATATACAATATAATTGTTTTGGTATTTGACAAAACTATTTGGTTATGTTTTCCCACGCACGATTGCCACGTTGCAGGTCCAACGACAATCATTTAGCCGGTTGGTAGGAGAAATGTCGACAAAATCACCAATTATATCTCTTCTATCACAGTACTTGGCATCAGTGTAGTCAAAAATAGTCCCAGTTTCGTTTAGTTGCCAGAAAAATAACTAGTTGTATAGTCAAAAACAGTCGCTAGGTATAAAGAAAATCACCAATATGGCGACAAATCTTCAAGCCTGGCAACCATGTACCACACTGTGCGCTAAGTACCGTTTAAGTTAGCGGCCACTTAACTAAGGACAGTTTAATCGGAGAATAATCCTCACTTTTCGTTGGTGCAACCGAAAATGTACCTTTAAGGATTGCTTATAGTTAAGAAACGAATATGTTATCCGTAAAGTCGTTGGTGCAATCGGCCATAAAAGTTTAATCACACAGAACAATATATTCCCCAAAAACTCCCTAAGCTGTCAAAATCCCTCAAAATTTTGAGAAAAATACCTCAATGTGGCAACCCTGCATTCATAAAGTAGCCCAATTATGATAAGGATTTTTTCGCGAGTCTACGGTGTAGAACAGTGCACTACCGGGAACTGATACTTAAGTTTTCGCGAAAAACGGTTATAGGGGAAGACGGATGTGACATCATTCAAGTGTCAAAAGATCACGTGATACAGGTAACCGCCTAACGTGGGTGAGGTACTAGCGGGTGACATATCTTATGTCAATGTCAATTGAAAATTTGTCTTCGCAGTGATGAAAATTGATCTAAATGATTAAATCATAAATGGAGGAACAGGTCCACCTGATTTCAAATGACGAGGGAGAAGGTCATCGAAGATATAGGAAAAGCACTTGTCATATCAAATGATTTTATTGATATATATGTAGATTGCACAAAAAACGAACGGTCATTTTATTTCAGATTCAAAAAGGCAGCTAAGTTTATCGAGGAGCTTAAAGCAAACATTTTGCACAACATGCGCCAACTAACCACTCCCGGTTGAACTTGAAACTGTCAAAACTTCGAGAGGAAGGGGAAATTCCATTTGTTCCCGCTCCGGTTCACTACGGGATCTCGCGAAAAAATCTCTGATGTTTTAGTTGTCAAAGGAACATTACTTTTGAACTAAGGTCAACAGATGTTGCTCCAATTTTGTCATGCGTCATATTCCAGAAATTTGTACAATTCGCGCCATCTAGCTGTTAAAAGAACTGATATTCTTCTTTGCGATTTGCAACTGTCTCTAGTGACCTCCAGAGGTCTACTTTTTGAGGTTTATGCTTCGTTTTGGAGTTGCTAGTCTGAGGGAAAATGTTAATTAAATATTCATTGACGGTATTGTCAGGAGATAGCCCTGAATTATTTGAGGCGACATCTATGCATTCCTGCTTTATTGTTATTATTATTAGATAGTTGTACACCAGATGGCGCAGATCAAAGCTGAAGCGACATCTGGTGAAACCTTGGTTGACTATGACACAAGACAAACTGACAAACGTTTGTGATGAAACTTGTACGTAGAAACGTCAGTGTCACTTTGTTTCCATGTTTTTTCTAGGAATTAATTTTTGGATAACATGTGTATTAGATAATTTTTCAAAAACCTGTAAAATGACTTATTTAAATTCATGGGAAGATTTCGAAAAAGAAGCTGAGAGACTGTACTTACAATCGCCATGGAAAGTTAGATATACTTTGAAATATGTTCATTCAAAGAACCAACTAATTTTGAAAATGACTGATGATTTAGTGGTATTATACATAATTCTCAGTGATTATTCTCAGAATAATGGGTTTATTCTTTTCAGTGTTTGCAGTTTAAGACAGAAATTGCACAAGACGTCCGGAAAATAGACAAATTTATTAATAATCTCTTGAGGCATATGGTATCCAAGGAACATTAGCCCACTTAGACCTAGAGACTTCACTACTATCCTGTTATGTGTTTACATGTATAAGACCTAAATAAATTGAAAAAAAAACGTAACACAAACCACCTCTGTTAAATCAAATAGGAGTATCTGTGTAACTGTTTTTGAAACTGTAACATTAGTACGAAAATATGAACACCCATAGAACCTTATTGCACAAAGAATCTACCAAATACCTATCTTTGAATCAGCACAAAGGTTTGTTTATTCAGTCCAATATGAATTTTATTTATTGCATATGAGGTCAATTTTGATTTTATACCAGTGTTTCAAATTCAACCCTCACCATTGGGATCTCAGAAACTGTAAGAGAGACAAAGTCAATTAAAGGGGGTGCAAAGTTGCTGATTTAAGTAATTAAGGAAATGCTGCTTAGGCAGTTCCAAAATTCAAAGTAGTTCCAGAGATAGTTGGAAAAAACAGAATTTACCCAAAATTGTTTTAATTTTTTTCTGACTTTTTTTGTAGTCAGATTTTTAAATAAGTTACATATCAAGATTGCCCCTTTTTCTCCTCTATTTTTATTATGGACGCCATATTAATGTTTGTCCAGATCAATAGATTTTTTAATTCTTATTGAAAAAATGTATAACACTCCAAGGGCGCAAACGATATTTTGGCTGGTCATTTTTTAACCTCAGTGGAACTTCTAGAATTTATCTTATTATTGCTCCTTAAATCCATTGTGTTCTATCTGGTCAAGGCCAGCTTGAAAAAAAAACATGGAAAATGTTCAGAAATGCAATATTTTATTATATGAGAACAAAATAAGTATGTGGCATGAATAATTAACTAGTGTAATAATATTAAAGATTCAAACATAAAAAACTTCATTGCTGGTAACAAAAAAAAAAATAAATAAATAAAACATTACATATGGTATAACAGGAAGTGTTTTAGATTGGTTTAGAAATTATTTGTCTAAAAGGATGCAAGTTACAAAAGTTAATGACACTATTTCATCAAAAATTGAAAATACGTAGGACAGTATCCTGGGACCACTTCTTTTTATTTTATACATAAATGATTTACCTGCCATAGTAAGAAAATGCAAAATTCAGATTTTTGCCGATGACACTATGATTTATATAAGTACTAAAAATATTCAGTCTGGTATCTCTTATATAAATGACGACTTGAAACTTGTCTCAAAATGGTTAGCATCTAACAGACTAAAATTAAATACAAGTAAAACAAAAGCCTTGTTAATTGGAAAAAACAATGCACAAATGTTCAACTGAATATCGATGGTGAAGATATTGAATTCGTAGAAAATTTTAAATACCTTGGGGTTTTTGTTGACTCTCGATTAATTTTTGATATTCATTATGAAAAGGTTATAAATAAAATTAGTAGTAAAGTGGGATATTTATCGAGAGTTTCTGGATGTCTGAGTTCATATAGCAGAAAAATTATCTATAATACCATCATTCTTCCAAATTTCTTGTACTGTTCGATTATTCTATATTTAGCAAATAATTCCATTTTTGAAAGACTGCAAATTTTACAAAATAAGTGCATAAGAGTAATACTAAATAAAGATAAATATACTCCAATTAGGCAAATGCTTAGCAAAATAAAATGGCTCAATGTAAAAATTTTTATCAAATATCTTGTAATGATATTCATTTATAAAGTAAAAAATAATATATTTCCATCAAGTGTAACTAATTTAACATCATCAAATGTCTGTCGACCATCATTTACATAATACCAGAAATAAAGATGACTTCCATTTAATGACCAAAAAGTATAACATATGCTACAAATCTGTATTCCATCAAGGTTTGATTGAATATAATAAATTATACTCAGAGATATGTAAAAGACCAGAAAACTTTGACAAAATTTAAAGTAAAATTAAGAAATCACTTGTTGAATCTACAATTATACGTTGCCCAGCATTTACATCATACACCATATGGCTTGAATTTACTAGTTCTAAGTTGTTTACAATTATTCTGTTTATGTAGCCAAATGTGCTAAATAAATCTTTCTACTACTACTACATTCTGAGCGTCTCCGATACATATCCCAGTCCATTCCACACAAAACAATGTTTTTGATTGCGAAAACGAACACGACACGGTTAAGATGGGAGGTTAAAGTTAGGCGGGTCTGTCTGGCAGGCACATCGCGTGGCGGCATCATGGAAGAGAGCTCTGAGGAGCAAAGCGCGTTGGTGTAGCAGTACAAGAGAGCTAGATCGCCGACGGTCCGCCTGTGCGAAAGGGTCTCGAGACTGTCTGTTAGAGAAGAGTTATCGATCAGACGGACAGCCCTCCTCTGGTCAGCATCGAGCATAAATAATGTAGTCGGGGCGGCAGCACCCCAAATGTGTGAGCAATACTCGAGGCTAGGCCTTATCTGGGCCTTGAATAGATTGAGAACGTCGTGCGGAGAAAAGTACTTCTGAGCCCTAAACAAATAGCATAACTTTTTCCCAGCAGCTGCACTCGTCTTACGGTGTTATATCTGAATGTTACTTCCCACATAGTCTAGGGAACCCTTTGCATTGACGACACTTGGGCATTGGAGGGGACGGAACGTACATGGTGGAGTTGGCGGCAAGGATCTTGGCAAGGACCTCCGCTTTGGCCTTTGAGTCCGATACAATCGTTCCATCCTGATACGTAAGTGGTGGAAGGCTGCTGTGTGAGAGTTTCTTTTCAATCTGCTTGGCCAGCGCCCAGAAAGACTGACTGCCATTGCGCCGCGACATAACCCTGTGCCTAACCCTGGTTTAGGCACTTTCACCGTATGAGGGATGTATTCCTCTATTCCGAAGTGGATAATTTTGGTCTGAGCTACCCAGGAGGGACAGGACAGCAGTGCGTGGTCAGAAAGAGTTCCAGCAGGCTACAGGCATGTGACGAGACGCGGGGAAAAAGTAGGGCTCGTCACCAGCTGGGTCAGCCCTTGATTAAGAGCGAACGCTTTAACTGCTGCATCGGCCTTGTTTGAGCCAACTAAAGCAAATTGTGGTCATTGAAATCACCGAGGAGAACTATCGATGTTCAGGAAGTCGATCTTGACGGCGAGGTATTCAACAAGGTCATCCCAGTTATGGTCCGAGGGAGAGCGATAAAGGCAGCAAGTAAATTTGGGGGTTTTGGAGTTGAGGCGAAGCCACAGAATGTCCTTCCAGTCTGATTCCAGAGAAATATCTCTGCAGCAGGAAGGACTGTTACGGACAAAGACCACCCCCGTTCTTTCTCAGATTGGAGTGCACCTCGTAATTTGGGAAGCTAAGATGGTTAATCGGTGCGGACTCTGAGATCAATGTTGCTGTTAATTACGCAGATGTTCGCGAAACAAATTTTATCTTCGTCCACCCTCCACCCATCCATTCCGAGAATGGAGTGAGTTTACATCCGGAATTCTTGGTACTCGAGGGATCCACCATCATTAATTGTTTTGGAAGATAACCGCTGCATAGCTTAGGTGTGGAAACATGCGGACATTTATAAGACACCCTGGGAAAAGCTAGCGGATGGTACCGCCTCGGTCGACTGGTCTTTGATGTCTACCACCTTCTTTTTGCGTGTTAATGATATTAAATAGACCTAAAGTGGCCCGTTGGCGGACTTGTACCGCCACCCGGCAATCGGTGCTGAGGTACTCCTTAACGCGTGTTCAATCACTTGAACCAGAAGACGTTATATACTGTATACAACTTCCGGAACAAGCATTTGCCACGGCCCCGCTCAGTAGGGGTTGGGATTATTTCAGACTTTCGTTGTCGAACCTAGATTAACGGCATAGTTGTTGTTTTCTCAGTTTTCGAACCGGTATTGATCGCATGTAAAAATGTTGGAAATTATTGGAAAAACTATCTGTTAGATCGTAATTATTTTGATAATGTATGTTTGTATGAAACAAGTACAGGAATATAGGGCTGTACATATGCATGTGTAGTGCAGCAGCTCTGTGATTTAAACGAGTTCAATATAGCAACATAAATAACATACGCGAGAAGAGATGCGGGACGTGTGGTATTGACTTTGAGCATCGATCGACGCAGTTTCTGGACAGGCCACAGGCGCACCGCTAAACAAATCTCATAAATGTCTATTTCCAATTTAGGCGTGCATCTAATATAGTGCTTCGCTGCAACTCCAATCCCGAATAAAATCAGTCAAGTTTTACACACTTTTCAAATTACTATTGAGCAATAAACAGAACATAAATCACCTTTTAAGTGCAATCTGTATAGCTAATATATTAGGTACCCAGACAGATTTGTCACAAGTCACAATACTCGTATAAATCGTAAGAATTGTGCTGTAAACAAGTGATGTCAAAGAGGGTCAGCATTTGGAATACCAAAGGATAGCAAAAAATCGCAATGCTCAGTTCCTATAGCTATAACTTATAGTTAGTATGCTTCTGTCGCCATGATGGGTCAGAAGGTAACACAATGGTGTTAGATTACAAAAGCAAGTGTCAGACGTTTAGGGGCGGGGGGCGCCCCCCTCTAAATCCGCCACTGAACACTACTATTCATAATTGTTCATCAGAGCGATCCGGTGGTCCTTTGCTCTTAGTTAAAAGTCTAGTTAGTCTGCCAGGTCTGGCTACCCAGACACCAAACATGTTTAACTGTTTCGCGACGGGAGGTGGTGATATTCGCAAAAAAATGTAGTGTCTGGTATACGGGAAATGTATATTTACGCAGCGACAGAGGTCCCGGTTAACTACGGGAAACGTGTTGATCAGCATATGTCGGTATTTGTATGTACCAAATACTATGCATACAAGCGAAAATTTTCGGTGGTGGGGAAACAGGCATGCAGAGAATTGTCGCACAGGTGGTACCGTCAAGACAGTTTGCAGCACGTTTACTTGACCATTATTTTTCTAACGCAAGTATTGATACTTTAGTTATTTTACGATATATTTATCTTCAAAATGTCTCATAGTGAGTTAACAGATCAGGAGTTGTTAGAAATATCACAGAATAGCGATTCTGAGGGCGATTTCGATGGCGACGCTGAGGAATGGGAAAATATACGATCAAGAAGATCAACACGATTGTTGAACAACCTAATACTGGGTGATTCACAAGTCGTAACCAAAAATGAAATATACACAGAACCGTATTTTAAGGGGGGTCTTCTATGTAACATTTTGTCCTCGAGGGCTTCATTAAAAAGACACGGGGTGTTGAAGTTTAAAAATAAAAAACGTTTTTTTAATATCTTTAACACCGTCAACTGGAATGAACTAAAACTTGGTATGTGGATTTACCTAAGTATTGTCCACATTTAAAAGTCTTTACTCAAAATTAACGTGCACCAGTGGCGGAGATACAGAGGATCAGTGGCATTATTTTTACAAATAAAAATAGTACGCCACAAAACAAATTAGATCATTCATGAAGAGCCGAGATACAATTAGTTTCAAAATAAAATAGGAGGCCTTGATACCAACTTGACGTGTCTTGGGAGATTGTTTGTCAAAGTTATGTGTTATACGGTTGTTATCGTTACTACAATTTTCTTTGTAAAAGTCAAGTCAGAAGTTTCTTTTTTCCATTTTTGAGTGTTGTGAAATGGAATTTAGCAATGATGAGTAAGCAGATATTATTTCTGTGTACGGATTCTGTGATGGAAATACATAAGCGGCTTTTCTGGAGTATCAACGTAGATTCCTAACAGATGCCAACCGACTCCAAAGGTTTACGCGTTGATTTCTAAGACCAAACTTCCCGGAGTTAGAGGCCATGGTGTCCAGCATACTGTTCAACAGGAAAGTCATAAATTTGGCGTTGTATGATCCTAGTACTAGGCGGATTGCAGCCCAGTTACCATGTTTCCAAAGTCTCGCGTGGACAAATTTAAGTCGGGAAGTTTTACATTCTCACCATCGGCAAAATGTGCAATGTCTGCAACCGGGCGACGAAGTGCAACACTGTGTTACAATTTTAAACGTTCCATTTGCATTTGTATATTCAGATTTTGTTACTTACGTTATGTTTTTGTTATATAAATAAATATATGTATGTATTTGTATTTTTGAATAACATTTTTGTATGAATGTCTTTGGGAATTGAAATGTTATTTTTTAAATTATCGCCAGCAAGCGGTGTTTTCCCCGTAAGGACAGACAGATTTCGTAACATGATCCTCCGTTGCGAAAGGGGTAAGGGATGTATAACACGTCATACAGTGAAATTTTTAAACCCGAGTTATTTCAAAAAAGCAGAATTTCCAGAGTATGCCTTGAAATGACCAGATAGTCATTTGTTTTGTGTAAAAGATTTATTCCAATAAATTTTTTGCTGTCTTTATTTGAGATGTGGATTTAAAATAAATTGCATGTTGTGATTGTTATTTACCCTTCTTTTCCAGATAGCGTAGTCAAATTTTCAATTCGAGATTTCTTCTTTCAACTTCCATCATCAACTTTGTTTTTTCATATGGACATTATATCGGAATTTTGTATATTTAAATAGACTTTTCAGTCCAGAATTCAGTTATGGTCATTAACTTGTTGTTGGATGAAAACTATAAGGAAATAAAAATGCATGGTCAAACCTAAAGACAAAATAAAAATTTTATTGATGGGAATAACAACAATAATCGTAAATAAGCAGAGATAAATCATAGCAATGTTTAAAAATGTTGTAGACAAAGCTTCTGGTCACTGCTCAATTCACTTCCCTTCTCAGTCTTCCAAACTACTATGTACAATTCGAGTTCTGGTCTGGTATACGAAACAAATGACATCTGATAATTTAACGGCCTACCTAGAAACTTCTGTTTTTCTGGAACAACTAAGGTTTGGTAATGTATGACATATGATTTAAAAAAATTAAAAACTATTTATCTGGGCAAAAATTCAATAATGCGGCCATAAGAGAAAATAAAGTTGATGCTTGTAGCGGAGAGTTAATGTGCATTTTATTATAAAGTCAGGAGAAAATCAAAACGATTTTGGGAAACTTTCTAAGCGGCATTATGTTAGGTTACCTAAATACGCAACTATGCCTTCATTTAAGCGACTTCGTACCTTTTACTGTTTCCCATATCCCAGTGGTGAGGGTCGAATTTGAAACAACCTGCATAGAGTTAACTAGGTAGGGTTTGCAAGGGCATTTTTGATTAAAGACAGGGATCTTGGTTTCGCATATTTTGAATAAAAAACATTTTCCTAAAAGCAAATATGTATATATTAAAAAAAATACTAAGCCAGAAGTGTAAATAAATATTATAAATAAATGATTTTTCAGTTACACATGTAATCAACAAAAGGAAAAATGTATAACTATACATATATCATTGTACGGTAAAGATTAAGTTAAAATTCATCTAATAGAAAGCTTACTAAAAATGCAGTTCAGTATAATTATCACAAAAAATGATGTAATAGCCAATAGAATATAAAACATGTATGATTTCAAAAATTACATGATGCTTCATATACATGAATCAGAGATTATTTTCCAAATATATCCTTTGTAAGCATATCCCACCTAACCTTGATGTCAGTCTGTCAATATATAAGAGCAAACAGTAACCGGAAAAAATAAATTGTCACAGAAAATGCAGAATTACTTAAAAATTGGTACTATTACATCATTTCTTACAACAAGATCTTTTCGTATTTTAATTCAGCGATATACATTTTATATACCCTAGATTTAAAACTGCATCAACGAATCAATTGTACTCCCAAACTTCAAACGTTGTCTAAAATATGCTAACTAATGCCATGTTGTCCCAACTCTATATACATTTAAAGAAGCATCTTTCAGACAACAAAATTCTAGTTTATCTCAGTAATATAAAATTTACCAAACAAAAACATTATCATAATCAATGATTACATTTAGACACGATAAAATCCTAAAATCTAGAAAAAGGACGATTACCGACCTCTAGAACAGGAGAGAGTGGAATCAAATTCCATATCAACACAGAAAGCTTGAAGCAAATGCATCCAAGCTTTTATTTATCAACTAATCATTTTGCTTTCTCAAAAACATTGTGTACACAAGTGTTCGAGTATATGTAGTAGTAGTAACAACATTATCCTGAGCAGGATGTCCAAATTATGAGCAAATTCGCTGTTATTTGCATTTCCCACCATGAGAAGTAACATTTCCAGCCATGTGTGTTGTATGTGTATATTCGTGGTGGTGAATAGTCTTGCATAGTCAGAAATAACATTTGCTTACCTTGCGTTTTCACAATAATCGAAATATCGAATACTATATATTCCATTTGACTGTCCCTTTGGTTTTGGACTAGGCTCAAAATCTCCATATATTTACATAGGATGCTTTAGAATTCAATGTTCTTTCCAATTCACCATATATCTTATTTCGTAATTGTGTGTTTATCATTCAAAGTCGTCGTAAAATAAAAACTTATCTAGTGATAAGCAATGCAAGAATCAAGTTATAGGCTGAGTGTTTAGATGAATATGTAAAAAATATGGCTTGTTTCTCCCCTGTTTAGATCTGCGGACTAGACACGAAATTCTTCGTACGCCATTTTGACACATTATCACCTCTCGTCGATCGAATTCAACTGGTCGAGACTTGCCAGACGATCAGATGACTGAGATCTCCTGTCTGAAGATGAGCTGGTGTTTCAACGATGCCTGCCTCTGTTGTACTTATTATACTGTCCTCCATTTCGTCACCTGTTGTGAGATTTTCATTAGGAAACAGAAAATATATAGTTTAATGTCATGGATTTCTTTGAGCGGGAATATAAATTTTATATCTGACAGACATTTGGTCAGTATTAAAAAGATTCGTATGAATTACATTTACCAGTGGGCAAATTGGCCTTAAAGATAATTTCACAATATTTTTCTGAAAAACTTTAAGCACGTCGTTTAAACTACCGAAAAATTATTAAAACTATATGTTTGATTTTCAAGAGCAACTTTTTCACGAGTAGAAAATATTTTCACTATCAAATGGTACTTTATAGCTTTCCTAGAAACTAGTTGGAGAAATAATAGTTTATACAGGCAAAACCTGACAATATGTTGACTATAATTTAATTTTGCATGTTTTCTTTGTCACGCAATCATTTGTCCAATTCAAAAATATATCTACATATTGTTTATGTATCGATCAAATCAGAATGACAATATTCAATTATTCAATGCAATTCATTGTTAAGCAAACAACCACAGAAATTAAGCTATAAGGATTTTCTCGGGCTACGTGAAACGAGTATTATTAAGAATAGCTTTGCTACACCAAGCTCTAGAGTCTAAACTAACACAGGTATCTCAGCATTAGACTTCAATGCGGAAGCTATCTACGATACGAAGCAAGGAAAGGTACTTTATTTCAAAAATTCAGCCAAGCCTTTACGTAGGATTATTCGCAATAAACTCAAACCATAAGCTTCCAATTTTACGAAAACTAAAACGAGCGATTACAGTTCAGGTTTAAAATATTAAATAGCACTATGAAAAACCTGTAGTACATTTTGAGAACATACATGTTTTGGAATCATTTTAGTAAAAATCCATCGAAAGCACTACAAACACACATACAATGCATGATTACGAAAATGGTTGATGGATTTAACTGTTCCATGATTTATTGTGCATCAAAGTGTTAGGTATCGTGAAATAAAAATTATAACTATGAACTTCCCTTGCAAATCAGCCCATTGGGGGCACCATGGGCATTCGCTAGCATCCGGTCCATCCCCTGTTTTCAAAATATGTATTACATTATGTGGCATTTATGCTTAGCTTTTACGCTGCCGCACAAAATTCAACTAACATATTCAGTTAATTAGGTTTAACTTTGGCTACAGATGACTGTTGCTTCCATATAATGGTTGAAAAACCATCATTTGTTGCAATCACGAAAATATTTTAATGCAATATAAGGACCCTATGCATGGGGATCTCAATACCCGTGGGAGATACAGCTTAGATTAAATTAGGAAATAGCTGCGCTCTTTGGGGCGTATTTACATGCCGTTGAGAAACTTGTAAAAAGTTCATGTTTCACTCAGATATTTGGGAAAAACTAAAATTTGGACAAATCATTTTTATCTTTTCTGACTATTTTAACGTATATCAAAACTTCTGCCATGGAGGTTAGGTTTTCGTCAGATATGAGGAAAATAACGCTTATCCCCTGACGACGTCTGGCACGAAATGTATTATCACGTTCTATCGGTATGTGGAAAAAAAATTAAATCCAATTAGATGATTCCATCGATACATACCTCCAAACAGATGAATTAATAGTAGGCAGAGGCGCATATATGTGGAGGGGTTGGGTCGGCGGCGGCACCTCCACCCTCGAATGGTACAAAATACTGATCACGCTTTGGGCAAATTTGCCAAATTTTCGACAATCACTTCGTCGTGACGGTTTAGAGGTTTCGTAACAGGAGAGTCCAGAAAAGTAGTGTTCTAGGTCCAAATCATAACATAATTCTAGCTTTGGACCTAGAAATATTGTATCGTCTTTATCTTTTTTTTGCTTTGCGATTAAATATCTAAATGTGTGACAAAATTTGTGTATGGATTTTGAAACAAAATTTGTGCATGGATTTTGGAACTGTTAGTTGGTAGCCTCAAACATTTTAAATATGTTTTTGAAGCTTTAATAGTCATTTCGTATCACATGGGCGCTCTTCAAAATGGCTTATTTTTCGAATGGGTCAAGTCAGCAAGCTAAAATTCGGGTTGATGAAATTGATACATGAGTACTATATTTTAGCATCAAGGAAGCAGTTAAGGATATCAAGATGCCGGCTAGGCGCCATTTTGAAACATATTTTCAAATGGAATGGAAGGTCATGTGATAATTCATATTGGAGCTTTTTATAAGCAGTTTATAACTATATAATTTAAAATCAGCAACTTTCAAAATGGCGAATTGGGCTGTAGTTGGGCGCTTTTGTACATTGAGTCGCTTATAACTCAACAACCAGTCATCAAAACGCTATTGTATATTGATTTTCTTTTTTTGGGAGGGTCTATCCGACCATGTGATAAAATACGGGACATTTAAAATAGAATTTTTTTTTTTTTTTTTATACTCCAACTACCACGAAGGCCTAAGGCCTAAGCACCCATTGGGTACCGTGGGGCTATGGGGGATACATGGGAAAGGGGGGACGCCACACGGACTCTGGCGAGGGAACACGTGTGCATGAAACATGCACACATTCTGGCTCCGCCTACGAGAACCGCCGGGTGGTACCTCCGCGTTCGACAGTCAGAGACCATCTACCACCTACGGACAATCACAACATCCATGGCCAAGAGAAACATTTCTCCTGGGACGGGACTCGAACCCGCACAGCGCACGGCGGCTGATCAGGAGACCGAAGGGTCTACTACTGCGGCCACCGCTGCTGCCTAAAACAAACACACAACATCCATGGCGAAGGCGAGATTCGAACTCGCGGCCCGGCCGACCGGCTGATCAGTAGCACGACACTCTGACCCACGCGGCCAACCGAGGTCCCAGAATTATCCAATTCTGTCCTTTTTTCCTTTTTTTAATCTGACAAGTGACACACAATTCTGACGGATCCGTCATCGCCCGGTAGACAGTGCCGTGTTTTATTGTACTTTTTTTGTACACTACGGATTCATTTTGTACTTGCTTAAACACTCTTTTTATATACCGAACCAGCCGTGCAGGTAGAAGCCTAAATGCCAGGACACCGCGGCTGCGAAGAGTATCCCAACGAAATTCTGCTAATCCGATTTTTGAACTGCCTAAAGTTAGTAGAACTGGGAAACGCTTCCTCTTGTAGATTGTTTCTCGACACCCTCGAGACAAGTGGAGCGGTAGTATCGGTCAGTTCTGAATGAACGAAGTTCGACACGGCTAGGATGGGAGGCCAAAGTCAGGCCGGCCTGTCTGACAGGCACATCGCGCGGCGGCAGCATGGAGGAGAGCTCTGATTAGCAAAGCTCGTCGGTGTAGCGGTAGGAGAGAGCTAGATCGCCGACGAGCCGCCGGCGCCGATGCAAAAAGTTCCCGAGACTGACCTGTTAGAGAAGAGCCATCGATCAGTCAGACAGCCCTCCTCTGGACAGCAGCGAGCATAAATAATGTAGTCAGTGCGGCAGAACCCCAAACGTGTGAGCCATACTCGAGGCTAGGCCTTATCTGGGCCTTGTATATAGAGAAGAGGTCATGCGGAGAAAAGTACTTCTGGGCCCTAAACAAATAGCCTAGCGTTTTCAAAGCAGCTGTCGCTATTGACGGGATCAGGTCCTCGGTGATCTGGACTCCGACCAGCCGAAACGAACGGCTGTTTGGTAGAACTCGGCGATCCTTAGAAACCGAATAAGCGCTAGGACGGTTTTTGTTCGCCAAGGTACAGTACTGAATTCCTGCATATAGAGTGCTGTTACAGCAAAGCTGTGGATTGGGTTGACCGTACAGGAAAGGAAATCGTTGATATGTAAGAGGAACAGTGTCAAAGCCAAGACCGATCCCTGGGGAACACCCTCGTTGACGTTGTGGGATAAAGAGGCCAGAGAGAAAGTCAGCCACTCATCTGCAAAGCTTCTCTGGGAGGCCATAAATGGAAGTTTGCATAAGAGGGCAGCGTGACACAGCTGATCGAGCGCTTTCGTGATATCAAAAGCAACTACATGAGCCTTACCATAAGACTGGATGAGTTTACTCCACAATTGCGTGACGTCAGGTAGAAGGTCCCCTGTGGATCGCTGGTGTCGGAAAACGATACTGTCTGTCGCTAATCAAGCTGTGACGTTCGAGGTAGTCCAGAAGCTCGCCATTTATGCACCTCTCCATCACCTTACTTATAACAGAAAGCAGAGCTTTAGGCCTGTAGTTGTAAGTGTCGGTCTTACAACCTTTTTTTTGGGATGGTTGGACATGAGCAAATTTCCAATTTTCTGGGAAGGTGCCGGATTCATTACATATCTGGAAGGGCCGCGAAAGAACTGGAGCAAGCACATCTGCAATGGCAGGAATCAAGTCCGGACCAGAAGCTTTGCTGATGTCTTACGGTCTGATGCCTGAATGTCACTTCTCGCATAGTGCAAGGAAACTCTTTGAATCGACGGAACTTGGGCGTTGGGACGTCCACTGTGGAGTTGGCAGCAAAGATATTGGCAAGCACTCCCGCCTTAGCCTTTGAGTCGGTTACAATCGACCGATTGCCATTGTTCTGCGACATTACCATGTGCCTGACTTTGGCATTGCGGACCGCTTCGTTATATTTGTTTCTGGACTCGACGTCGGCTTGTCTGTTCTCTACAGTTGAGATTTGTAAGAAGGTTCTGCGTGCCTTGATCTTCTGATGTCGAGCAGTGTCGCACGATTTGTTGAACCAGCCGTGCGACCCTGATTTAGGCCCTTTCATTGTATGAGGAAAGTATTCCTCCATACAGACGTCGATAAATTCGGTTATCGAAAAACAGACAGTCGACGAATTCGCGTCAGCGAAACAAACATCTCTCCAAGGAAAGATAGAGAAGCAGTCTCAGAGCCCCTCCCAGTCGACAGGTCCGTAATGCCAAATTTTGAGGCCTGGGCGAGCTTCTGTTGCCACAGCGGGTTCTGACCGGAACCTAACCTCTACAGCATAGTGGTCTGAGTTAAACAGGGGGACAGGAGAGCAGTACTTTAAGGGACAACATGCGTGGTCAGAAAGAGATCCAGCAAGCTACTGGCATGTGACTAGACGCAGGGGATAAAAGTACGGCTCGTCACCAGCTGGGTCAGCCCTTGAGTAAGAGAGAACTTTTCAACTGCATGACCTGCAGCATCGGTCTTGTTTGAGTAAAACCAAAGCTCATTATGGACACTAAAATCACCGAAGAGTACTACCTCTGAAACGGGGTGATTGATGTTCAGGAAGTCGATACAGCGAGGTATCAAGAAGGTCATCCCAGTTATGGTCCGAGGGAGAGCGATAAAGGCAGCAAATAATTTTTTTCTCAGATTGGAATGCACCTCGTAATTTGGGAAGCTAAGATGATTAATCGGTGCAGACTCTGAGATTTTTGTCTCCGCCAAGAAAAGCATGGCGGGACGAGTGGATTGCAGGTAGTGATGAATAGCATCAATGTTGTTGTTAATCCCGCAGATGTTCGTGAAACCAATTTTATCTTCGATGTTGTTCCCTTGCGTCTACCCTCCACCCAGACATATCGAGAGTGGAGCCAGTTTTCGTCCGGAATTCTTAGTACTCGAGGGATCTATCATCATTAATTTCATTGTTGGGGAAGATAACCAATATCGTGGGAAAAGCTAGCGGGTGGTACCGCCTCGGTCGACTGGTCCTTGTCTACCACCTCATTTTTTCATGTTAATGATGTTAAATAGACCTAAAGTAGCCCGTTGGACAAGAATTTGCCATGCCACCGCTCAGTAGGGGTTACTGTCAATGTTACGGGCTAATAGAAAGATGTCACTTGCTGATCAGCAGTTCAGCTTAGTAGACGTCAAAACGTAATGGATGCTCGTGAAATAGGGTGTACTTTCTTCAGAAAAACAGGGTTATGCTATTTTCAAGTTTTTTAATGGGTATACAACGTTCTGATGAGGAGCTATGATACTACAGACAGACACACAGATTCACATGTTATACTTACACATTTTGTGTCGGGTATTAAAAACAAATGAATATAATCTGTTTTACTATTAAAACTTCAATTTTGCCTAGGTAAAGAATAGCCTATTGTGATTCTCTTCAATTGTACTTGAAGTATTCTGCAAAAAGCGCTATTAACTGAAAGCAGTCATGAGAAAACCAAAGTTATTTTGAATCGAAAAGTTAATTTAATTTTGTCTAGCAGATTATTAAAATCCTATCTTTAAATTTTACCATCCACCAGCGTGATACTGAATGCTAACAGTGTGTATTAACCCCTTAGTAAAAATGAAAACCTACCCCAAGGGATTCCCAGGAATATCATTAATTAGTTGCCAAACTAGAAGGTGTGAAGCGCCATCTCGAGGTTCACTATCGTCTTCTGTAAATAGCCATCAAATCACAATGTAACTATTCGTGTAACAGTTACAATTCTCACTGGAGTTCAGAAACGGATCATTACCTCATTTGGCATTCGTGCGCAAGTGGTATCACTCCATGGTAACTAAAGATATAGCAGATATTTGATAATTTCACATGTTTTTCTTCTAGTAATTTTCCATGATGTTTCTAGTTATCTTCTGTGGTTGATGAGATGATCAACCGTTTCTTATTTTTTCGGTATTTCATAATTATGTACCAAAATTACAACACAACTGGCCACTATAATGAAGACGTTTATTTGAGTACAGGTACACAATGATAAAGTTAATCTACATGCCGAAGTTTGATTATTTTTAGTGGTAGTGGTGATTTGCTTTTAGCATATATGTATAAAAAATTAAATTAAACCAGTTGTCAGTTTTGTGAATTTTGGTTACACAACTATGTGTATATAAGACAGTCAGATTATGTTAGTCATGAAAGTGGGAAAGTTTAGTTGGAAACATCTTTGCACCAAAGACAGCTTTCATTATGAAATGTAAAAAAACAAAAAAAGAGACAAGACATATGGCAAAGTAATCCCACATAAAGAGAATGTATATGAATTGTTGCAATAGAGTATACAGAGAGTGGTTGATAATAATGCGCCAAATTGAACTCCTAAAAAGAATTATATATACAGGGTGTAAAGTTAGTACTGGATCAACGAGAGTCAGGTGATCAAAACCTATCGAATGAACCCATATATGTGTGATCCGAAATTTTATAGTTCAGGAGATATTTGCAATTTTGTAAAAAAAATTGAGGTTGTATTTCATTATTCATTTTATTGTAAAAACTATTTCAATCCATGTAGAATAAACCTTGAAAATTTCAGCTTGCTACGATAAGTGCCTCAACTTAAAAAATATAAGTTTCGCAGGTGGGTATTTATACATGTAGACAAAAAATTCTATTTTACCAGCTACAGCCCAGACGACTTGATAGATTTTGACATATGAGGTACTGTTAGATTCGTCCTAGCAGGGCGAGTGATACTGTGTGTATTAACATTTTGTAAAATCAAAATGGCAGATTTTTTACGCAAGTAGCCAAATCAGCTTAATGAGCTTGGGCATTCAACTCGGCATTCCAGGAGCGGGAACCTTCAATCTTCCGTCCGACCGAAATTAGGCAATGGTCCATCGCGGAATTTGTATCTAACATCTGAGTATAATCATGTCATATTCTCCGCGGGATTAGCAGAAATGCATTACTATGATGGTGCTGCCTAGGAATTGCTCGAGCAGCTGCTCGCATGTATCGGGAGTATGCGGTTAGAAGAGGTGGACCACAACCGGCGGTATATCCCGACTACCGCGTTTTTCTACGCGTCCATCATGCGTATATGGAGGGCCGCATACTAGGCACTCATCGTCAGCTAGGAGCGCCGAGAATACGCCCAGAAGAAATAGAAGATATAATAGAAGCAGCCGAGAGAGATCCCTCTATAAGCACCAGAGCCATTGCCCGAAGCAGAAACATATCCACTTCAGTGCACACAATACTACGCTCGGAGAACATGCATCCTTACCATGTACAAAAAGTACAAGAATTGCTTCCAAGCGACTATGCACAACGGGTTGAATTTTGTGAGAATATGTTGAGAAGGTGCGAAGAGGATGAAACTTTTTTCGAAAGCATCTTATGGACAGATGGATCCAACTTTAACCGAAAGGGAATATTCAACATGCATAATTTCCATTCATGGAGCGTGGAAAATCCTCAACTATTCGCCGACACAGCTTTCAACGTCAGTTCGGCGTTAATTTATGGGCTGGAGTACTCAACAAAAAATTAATTGGACCATATGAATTGCCGCCAGGTTGAATGGTCAGTCATATCTTGCTTTTCTAAAAAGTAGTTTGCATGAACTGCTAGAGGATGTACCTTTGGACGTTCGAAGCTGCATGCATTTTCAATGCAATGGTGCCCCATGTCACTTTGCACAAGATATACGGCTTGACTTAGTGCCTTTCCTGGACGTTTGATAGGTAGAGGTGGACACATACGATGGCCTCCAAGGACACCCGAATCAAATCCTCTAGATTTTTTTATATGGGGGTAATCTATACTTCTGAGTATACAAATGTCAACCAACTGCGCCAGAAAATTGATAAAGCAAAAATAATAATTATGGAAAACGCAAATTTATTTCAAAGACCAAAGGAAAATTGTATTAGAAGGTGTCGCTCGTGTATAGAAAATAATGGAGGGCTTTTCGAACATGTTCTTTAAAAGTTAGTTAAATTTAATTATCTTCCACATTTGTCGGTAAATCGCCATAAAGAGCGACTAAACATAATAGGTTCTGTACTTGTAGGTGGTAAGGATTGTATTGCGTTTCTTACATTTATCGTATCACACCAACGAATGTAGCATGATACACTCATCATAGCAAGCTGAAATTTTCAGGGTTTAATCTACATGGATTGAAATTGTTTTTACAATAAAATGAATAGTGAAATACAACCTCAATAATTTTACTGTCCTCGAAAGTTGAGGGATGGAAGAGATTTTTCACAAAAAAAAATGAATTTAAGATTTTTTTCGTTGATTTCTAATAAGCTCTGTTGAAAAGTGAGATAACCATTGCTAAAACTAACCATTTAGCTCATCTCAGAAAAAAATTACAGCCCTAACCCTAATGGTTTAGTTGTAATTGCGATTGAAAGTTCATTATTCCGTTTTTTTTTTCGAAAGTTCACAAAATTGCAAATATCTCCTGAACTATGAAATTTCGGACTACACATATAGGGGTTCATTCGATAGGTTTTGAGGCCGTCTATCACCTGACACTCGTTGATCCACTACTAACTTTACACTCTGTACATATAATTACTTTTACGTGTCATATATAACATCCCACAAATAGATTTTCCCAAAATGTATTTGTTTATGAGTAATATTCCGTCCACACCTGGATGGGCTACCCTGATGAATTGCGAAAACAAATTTTTTAAATAACAACAAAAAGACAGAAAACTTATTTAGAAACAGTTTGAAAATATGTTAGAATAGTCGCCTCCTTAAGTTTTTTTTTGCTTTGCATCATCACGACATTTCTGAAAATGACATTCCAAATTTTTAATTTGTTCAAAGGCAACATAGTCATCTTTTCTGAAGTTTTTCAGTTCTTCTACATAAATTAAGGCTTTATCATACCTTTTTACTTTATTTTCCACTTCTTGAATCTCCTCAATTTCGTCATCCGTCTTATTTTCTTGATTAGATTCATCACCTAGTTCTACGACTAAATGTTCAAGCTCAGCATCTTTTTCAGTTGGAGTGTTTTGATCAATGCTAACATATTCATTTAAATTTTGATCGTTGGTAATGTTCAGTTCATCCGCAGCTTGGACCATCGTTGCGAAAGCAGATAATGACAAGTCATCCTCGGGATCAAAATGAGGAACCTCTTGCCCAGCTTTTCTGAACCCAGCTTTTCGGAAATAATTTATTGTCTCATTAACATTCTGCCATGCCGTTTTTATAAAGTAAAAATTTTTTTTTTTGATAATCCGGAGGATGATTTAACACGATCCATATTTAATAAAGTATGTTTTAAAATCGGATTACGATAATAAAAGTTAACATTTTTAATGATGCCCTGATTCAGTGGCTAGCACATGCTTGTTGTGTTTGAAGGCAAAAAGATAATTTTAACATTTTTTAGATGTAGATCTCGAGGATGAGATGCAGCATTCTCTAAAAATAACAGAATTTTTCTATTTTTGATGCCCATTTTTCCATCCAACTCGGCTAAACACTCACCCATTATTTCACGTGTCATCCAGGCTTTTTTATTTGACTTCCACATAACAGGTAAATCCTTAATGTTTACATTTTTCAATGCTCGAGGGCGTGAAGATTTGCCAATCACTAACAGTTTTTCTTTTTGTCCAGTAATACTTGCACAGAATAATACGGTTAGTCTTTCTTTCGATAACACTGATCAACAGCCAAAAAATATCCTAAATAAAATCAACAAAATATTACTATTTTTAATGTGCTAAAACCGGAATGAAACTTATTTTTTCAATATTAGTTCAAGTTTTAGAGATACGGTAATTGTATGTGTTCCTGCTGTGACAGTGTTAATATACTGTAATTCACAAGAATGCACGTGCTACATTTTTATATTAGGCAAGGAAAGATGATGTAATCGGCATGATTGTGTTACGTTATACATACGTGTACATTATATTGTTTTATATTAGCCATTTTTTCCTCAGTTGGCTGACAGCGTTCATGCAAGATGTCTCGAAAGTGTGTAAACAATCCAGATCAGTTTTGTTACGTGTGTGGTGATGTGACTTTTGCGTCTCAGAGACGGTCTATTACTCCACTAATAACAAAGGCATATCAGCTTTATTTCGGTTATAAACTAGGTGATCAAGACAAACAGTGGGCACCCCACATCTGCTGTAATACATGTGCTTCAAGTCTGAGGAGCTGGTTAAATGGCAAAAAACGGTCTATGCGCTTTGCTGTCCCAATGGTTTGGAGAGAGCCTACAAATCATATTAATGATTGTTTCTTTTGCATGGTACCTTGTGTTGGACAAGCCACAGGTATGCCCAAGAAAAAAAAATTATTAACTACCCAAACATACCATCTGCGATGAGACCTGTGCCTCACAGTGACGAAAATCCTATTCCAAAACCCCCAGAATCCTACACTTGCGAATCAGATCATGGCGATCGAGTGATTCGTCAGGAAGAAGATATGCCATCAACGTCAAGAGATCCTGATTTTATACCGAGCACGTCATGCCACCAACCACACAAAATAACACAGTCAGAATTAAATGATCTTGTAAGAGATTTAGAACTTCCAAAATGTAAGGCAGAGTTACTTGGATCAAGATTGCAGCAGTGGAACTTGTTAGAAGACGATGTTTCGGTATGTGTTTTTCGTAAACGCCACAAAGACTTAGAACCATTTTTCAATATGGAG